CTAGATGGCTGCTTGTTTACCTTCAAGCCTTTAAGACCCCAGCTGCTATATCTTTTGATAGCTGGGCACTATCAGCTTTCTTCACCACATTTGCTTATGCATCCATTTTGTCTTCAGCGATCGTGTCGGGAAGGTGAGCACCATGGAATGCCAGTGTCCATGACTGAGCAGATGTTTTCTGAGAGCTTACTCTGTACCAGGTCCTGGACAGGCTTTGGACGGGGAGGGGGCAGTGCCATTGTAGTGACGGAGAGAAGACGCACAAGTGAATCAAGGGACACAAGTAGCCAGTGGTACAGAGGGCTGCTGGGAAGAGAAAGCTTGTGATGGCTGATCTAATCAATGCCAGGGAAGTGTCACCTGCGAGGTGACAGGTGGATAATTTTCTGAAGCAGATGGAGAGTATGAGCCAGGGCAGGTAGATGAGAACCTCAACTTACAGTCAGAACAGAAGAACCAATGTCCAGAGGTGGTCGGGGTGGACAGGGCAGTGAGGTGGTAAGAAGTGTGTATTCCCAGACAGTTCTGGCAGGTAAAGCCAGAGGGACACCCTGGAAGCCACACTGCAGACCATCTGGGGACAAGGACTGAAGGCCTGTGGGGGGGTCTATGAGGTTCCAGGTCTGTCCTCAGCTGCCAGCTCTCCCCTCTGCCACCAGAAGTCAGAAGGGTTCCCTAGTCCCACCCTGTTCTGAGACTCCGGATGGCCTGCTGCCCAGTCTGCTGGTGGCTCACTTCTGTTCTGGGCCCTCTCTTTCTCCTCCCTCTCTGTGCTGCTCAGCTGACGGTACTTGGCACATGTGTGCGCCCATGCACGCCCCGTGTCCACATAGTGGACGCTGTATGTACACGCTGGTCTGTGGGTGGTGCTGTGGTAGGCAGATGCGCCCAAAGGCTGCTTGGGGCCGGAACTATGGCTGGGTGCTCTGTGTTGGGGGCTGCCCTGTGAGAGCGCCGAGGGAGCTGCAAGACGTGTAATGTCCCACAGGGGAGTGAGGAGTACAGTGTAAGAGAGGGCTTGAGGCAAGGCAGGTGGGGGCACTGTGGGGACCCAGGGTTTTATAGGGAACTGGCTTCACAGGAGGGACTTAAGGTGGCCTGTGTCTTTTGCAACCACTGGGGCCGGGGGGAGGCACACTCCCCACCCTGGGCCCCCACAGTAGTGTGCAGCCCCTCACGCCCGTCCCTTCTGGATCCCAGATTCTAGAGGCAACACCGCTCTTGGAGTCCTTTGGGAATGCCAAAACTGTCAGGAATGACAACTCCAGCCGCTTTGGGAAGTTCATGGAGATCTTTCTGGAGGGGTAAGTGGGTAGGAGAGGGTGCCCAGGGAGCTCTGGCCTTGCCTTGGACCCCAGGCCTAGTCCCAGAGCCAGCCTCCCCGCCCCCCCTTTCCCTCCTCCCACCGAATCCCACACCAGCTGACCTGTGCTCCTCCCTCCAGGGGCGTGATCTCTGGTGCCATAACTTCCCAGTACCTGCTGGAGAAATCCAGGATCGTGTTCCAGGTGGGCCGGGGCCTCCTGGGTCCTGCATGTCGGCGTGAGGGTGGGGGTGGGCTTAGCTGGTGCCACTCTGCAGAGTTGACACAAGGGAGGCTTGGTAAATGCTGAGTTCATGGACAACCATGTATGTGTGTGCGCCTATACACGTGAGCACATGACTTCCTCCTCCCCTCCCCACACCACACACACATGCACACGCACACTCCTCCCACCATACTGGGCTCCTTGAAGTCCCTGAAACAAACCTACTGCTCCTCTGTCTTCCTGATGCTCAGCGTAGCCACAATGTCTTGCTGAGTGTCTCCTGCTAGCAGGTCACATTCTTGGTCCATGCATTCTTACACGATCCTGGCAGGTGCATGCTTTCTTGGAGCTCTTGCCTGTCTTTCTTCCTGCTGTGTCCACATGGCTGTGTGGCCCATGGGAGCTCTGTGTGCACAGTTGGGCCTGCGAGCCCACGGGTGTGTAGGTATGTGTGGCCAGTGCCCCATTTTCCAAACAAAGTAAAGCCTGTTCCCTACCACTTAGTACTGGCACTGCCCCCATCCCCCCTCCTGCTGACCTCCACCCCAGGGTGCTCCACTTCAGCAGCAGCATGTTTGTGTGTGGCGGGGGCATGTCCACCTGTCTCTGTGTCTGAACGTGTGTACCCTCTCTTGGCCCACTCACCATCCTTCAGGCCAAAAATGAACGGAATTATCACATCTTCTACGAGCTGCTGGCTGGGCTGCCTGCCCAGCTCTGCCAGACCTTCAGCCTGCAGGAGGCCGAGACCTACTACTACCTGAATCAGGTGGGTGCATCCAAGGGCCTCATGGGGGTTGCAGGATTCACGGAATGCCAGGGAGGCAGGGCCAGGCTTCCAGGGGGCACAAGAAGCAGAATAAAGGCTGCCCTAGAGGTCTGGTCCTCCCACCCCCACTACCCCTTGGACTGGCTGTGCAGCCATGACGTCTTGTCCTCATGGCCAGAAAAGGGCATGGACATTGAAGGAGGGAGAGTTGGGAGTTCAGTGTCACATGACGAGGGGACCAGAAGCCTGTGGTCCATCGTGAAGGGCACAGGAGGCCTGCTTCAGTTCTCCGTCGCCTAGAAGGGAACTAGCCAGCGGACTGCACTTGCCTTCTCTGTGCCTCAGCCTTCCTCATCTGAAAAATGGGGACAAAACAGTGTCAGCTGCACAGGACCATCTTGAGGATGAGACCAAGAAGTGCCTCAAAGCGCCTCACACATGCGCTGACATATACTAAGTGCTCGCTAAACGTAGACTGCTGTGTTTCGTTACCATCAGTGGCCTGTAAGCAAGGTCAGATTGCAATGAGCCCCTACTGCCCAAAGCCCCTCCTCATCCCTGCTCAGAGCCTCTAGCGATGGGAATGGGATGCCCTGTCTGTGCTGAGGGCTGGAGGTCCTGGCTCAGGGCAGAGCAGGGTCTTTGAGGGCCCAGGTTCCCCTCTTAGCGCCCCCACCCTGCGCCCCTGTCCTCCTCCAGGGTGGTAACTGTGAGCTCGAGGGAAAGAGCGACGCAGGTGACTTCCGGCGACTCTTGGATGCCATGGAGGTGCTGGGGTTCAGCGGGGAAGACCAAGACGGCATCTTCCGCATCTTGGCTTCCATCCTACACCTGGGCAATGTCTACTTTGAGAAGTACGAGGTGAGAAAAGGCCGCTCCGTGGCTCTCCAGAAGCATAGGGCCAAGGCCAGCTGCTCAGGGGCTAAGCTGGTGCCTCTCTTTCCCTCCTAGGCTAACTGATACTCAGATACTTGTCCGTGGTTGGTTGGTTTGTCCTTTGGTGGTGGGTGACGTTTCCTCACTACTGTGCGAACGCTCTGCTGTGTGTTACGGACATCAGCCCTTTGTCTCTGATATGAATTGTATAGCTTTTTAAAAAATGTACTTTATTATTTTTTAAGTGTCATTGGCACATACTGCACATGTACAATTTAATTGTTCAGTCTTCTCAGGAAGATCTGTGTAATCAACACCACAATCAATTTGAGAACATTTTTTTCATAGTCGTCGTCGTTAGCTCCCCATATCCCTCCATCCCCTCACCCCCACCCCAGTGGCATGTCTCTTTTGCATTTCATCATTGATATTTTTACTTTCTTTATAGTATTTGTTTTGCTTTGTCATGCAGATTTTAAAAAAATGTTAGTTCATTTCTTGATCTTGTATAAACTGAACTTTGAATCATTTTGAGAGAGGCTGCCTCACTTTGAAATTATTACAGCCTTCTCTCGGTTTAAGAAAAAATGTTTTTGTGAAAGTCAGTGGGAGTGGACAGATCAGACCATTTTTGCGCCCAACAACTTAACAGACTTTCCAGCGGCATGCTATCCCTGTCCCCTTGCCCGTCCACCTCCCCTTTATAGACCACTCCCTGGCCCTTTACAAACCCTGCGCAGGCTTGTTTGCCCTCTAGCTTCCCATTCCCCTTCTCATCCCTGGTAACCATCAAACATTTCTCTCTCATGATTTCGGTTTTACAAGAGTGGTCTCATACGATGTTTGCACTTCAGCTCTTGACTGACGTCACTCAGCATCATGCCCTCCAGACCCATCCTTGCCAGGGCCGTTTCATGGCTCCATCGCCGTTCTCTAACAATAAGTAGTTTCCATTGTGTGCCGCGTGAACCGAAGCTTAGTTCATCCTCAGTCCGCAAATGCGCAGTTGGGTTGCAACTGTCCTCTCGCTCTTGTGAGTCATGCTGCAGCCAGCGCACGTGTGTGGGTGTCTTTTCACTGTGTCCCTTATTTCTGCGATTCTTAGTTTCCTGCAAGACCTTTGGTGGTTTTGTTTTACATGTAAATCTTTTTTATTGTTTTATTTTTTTAATGAGAGGAATTTATATAGTAACATAAGATTAACCATTGTAAAGTGAGCGCATCAGTGGCATTTGGTACATGCACCGTGTTATGCCACCGTACCACCTCTACTTACACCAGGCCAACTCATTATATCCGAAGGACACTCCATTCCTCCCCTTTCCCTGCCCCAGACCCACTAACCGCCAAGTTGCTTTCTGTTTCTACAGATTTGCTTCTCCTGGGTATTTTGTACAAATGGAATCATACAATATTTGTCCCTTTGTATCTGAATTCTTTCATTCAG